TCGATGGGTCATGTGTGTGCGGCAAGAGTAGGGAAGGGAAGTAACGAAGGTGACAAGTAGATGGCAAGGGGAGGGGCCGATGAACACGGGGCTAGGGGAGGGTTGGCAAATCTGACAAAAAAAACAAATCTTGAGGGGGAGGGAATTTGAAAATTCTGGGTTTTTTATTTTTGTTAATTTTTTGTCTAAATCTTAGGGAAAATAATATATATATATATATATATATATTGGTTAGTGGGTTTTGAAGTTTTGAGAAAGATTTACAATTTTGATTTCTATTATAGTTATTGTTTCTCTTTAACATAGAAATTATTTTTAAAGAGAGAAAATAGTTCAGGGACCTTTATGAGACAAAGTTAAAGCTTTCCATCCAAGATTTAACAGAAAGATCATTTATGGAACACTTTTAGAATTCATGGACTGTTCATAAAAAAATTTGACTATAAGGACTAATTGTAAAAAGAGAAAAAAGTTTAATAATTATCCATGAATCTAACTCAAAACATTATACTGTTCATTCAATTTATCTTGAAGTTAATGTAACACAGTACCACATTTATAGATTAGAAAGAATAACCGAGATAACCCCATTTCGGTTCTATTAACATTCTAGGTTTTCCCTTTTCTTTTATGAACGCCATGTTATCCTAGCAAATATAATCCATATACTAAGGGGAAAAAAATACATAGGAGGACCATCGATGTTAAAGGACCACAACTAATGAAACGTGAATCTCACCCTCATATTGTGAGATCTACCTGCTATTATTCTAAGAACATGTTATATGATAGTTAGTACCCTCCAATAATAAAAGGTGGGTCTCACCTCAATTTAGACTCGTAGGTGGAACTCACATCTTATTAGTGGGTGGTCCTTCAAACATTTATCTTGTTTTAAAGAAATTGATTAATAGAATTGACTTGTCAATTTACCTCTCGATTTTTGTAGGTGAGATTAAAACTCCAGCCTATGTTCAAGAGATCCATAACTTACGTGACAAAGAATGACTCTGACTTGGGAGATCAAGTCGCATGTTTTGGTAGAGAACATGAGTTTGCAGACATAACATGGTACCCAAGTCAGCAAAAGGCCATCTATCGTGTCGACGACCGCGTCTCCACCAACACCTCCGGGGATGGCTTGTATGACTTCATTCCGTTCCGCTCCACGTCTAGTTTGGCGCTTGCATTTATTAGAATCACAGGTAATTAAAGTAGCTAACAATATGATTAGGAGAGACAATTTTAATTAAATGTTTACCAATCATGAAAAATTATGGAGTACGTTTAAATTTGTTGACCATAACAGAGGAGAACCAAGAATCCACTAATGATGCCGGAGGAAAATGCACAGGTGCAAAGTTAATCACGTCCACTCTCTCCACCAGTGCTTACGGTCTGACAAATAATGGTGGGTACCTTGGTACGGTAAATAAAGAATTTTTTTCCCTTTTTAGATTAAAAGTAGTGTACATTTCGTCGTGGCTAAACTTTTGCCAAATTATATCTTTAATCCATGATTAGAGTAAAAACAATTAATGAAAAAAAATTTTTTTTTTTTTTAATTATTAACAGGAGTTATCTTTACGGGGTACCCGGTGATTGGATACCAACACCGTCTCCAATCATCCGGGACATGCTTAGATAGTCTTCATGATGCAAGAGTTACTGCCTGCTCATGGGATTCAAGAGTCAAAGCCGAGTTCTTTCACCAAACCACATTCAGCCTTGGCTTGTCTGTTGTGAAGAGCTTCGTTGAAGACGTGCAAAAGCTGGTCAAATTGGAACCTAAGGCATTATGTGGCTTAGAACTCTACAACGGAATTCTCATGCGCTATGTCACTGCCTCAAGCGCCTATCTAGGCAGGCAAGAAGATGCGATAGATTTCGACATAACCTATTATCGAAGCAAAGATCCTTTGAATCCAAGGCTCTACGAAGACATACTCGAAGAAATTGAACAACTCGCTATTTTCAAATACGGGGCATTGCCGCATTGGGGGAAGAACAGGAACGTAGCGTTTGAAGGAGCCATAAAAAAGTACAAGAATAGCAAAGAGTTTTTGAAGGTTAAAGCGGCTTATGATCCATTAGGGCTCTTTTCTAGTGACTGGAGTGATCAAGTCTTGGGGCTTAAAGGTGGGTTGCCCATAGTGAAGGAGGGTTGTGCATTAGAAGGGCTGTGCATATGTGCAGAGGACATTCATTGTGCCCCAAGCAAGGGCTACTTCTGCAGGCCAGGGAGAATTTACGAGGACGCAAGAGTTTGTGCTCGTTTGGATAATAATCGACGACACTCATGATGTTTTGAGGCGATTCTTGCGTTGCTTACACTGCAGAAATAAGAAGTGGTCATATATATAGATACACACACACATATATGCACACCGTATTCTTTTTATATTCTCATATAGTTAAAATATATGCCTAGTAATTTTTAGGAGAAAGCTATTTAGGATGTTGTCTATGAACAGAGCATCCTCGACTTCGTGATTAAGATTTCTCTTGTACATGGTCAGTGTAGCTCTGCTCTGCCTTATATATTGATGAGTTACCAAATAGAAACGCAACCAACCAAGAGCATTGCATTTACATAATACAAAAAAAGACACCAATTTCTATTATTTTTACGTTTTTGTTATGTTATTTCTTTATTCAGCGAGTAATATGTCATTTAATTAGCACAATCTTTTCTTGCATGATCAAAGAACAATGCTTACATTAATAGCATTGTTCTTGTTATAAAAACTATAACTATAAAATAATCTTGCCCTTTTGAAGGATAGAAGCTAAGTATGAACAGAGTTAAGAAACTCCAGTTACTTAGACCTTCATTGGAAGGTAGATTTGAACTCCGGTTTTGGTTTCTGTTAAAGTTCTTTTTCTGACAAAATTTGAATCTGCTATGGTATTTTCTCTTATACAAATTTAAAAAATTTGAATTTTGATTCAAAACCTCCTAATTTGAACCTATGAACTAAACAAACATTTAACTAGCGAATCAGCATTTGACGAATATAAATTGCTAAAAGGGGAAAGGTGTAGTGACCAAGAAAATCCCAGAATTTAAATAATGAAATTCATGTATTTAAGTCAAGGATTTTTCCTAGAAAAATATATATTACGTATATTTTGTGAATGAATGATTTATGGAATTAACATCTGTATTCCTAAATTATGTAACAGATTTCATGCTAAGATCATGTTTTGCGATCCAGTAAATTCAATCGAAAAATTCTCACCGTAATTTAAAACGGAAGAATTTCCAGTGCATATACAGTTTGAGAATCTTAATTCCAAGAATCTCCAAACACAATATGAACTAGTATCCAGTACACGTAAATAAGAGAAAATTACAATCAGTATAATTTTAAACAGTTTTAATGAAAGACTTAAGAGAGTGGAAAAAGTACAAGGGTTAGGTTTCACTTTTCTCTCTCCTTCTCCACTTTGGCCGGCCATGTATAGCAAATTAGAGCCAAAATCTTGGCTAGTTGAGTGTGCAAGAGGATTACATGGTAAGGTGTGATGAGATTGAGTCAAATCAACTATTGGACATGAATGCTTATTACACATCCCTCTTGAAACACTCCACCGGTCAGCCAAGGAAAAAGGGGGATTTATCCAAAATTTTAGCTAATTAAGCTAGCTTGATGGGCTTAAATGAAAACTAAGATGAGATCAAGTAATATCTATAAAGGTGAGACCATTAGTGCAAGCATTAGGTTAGCTATTTTTGCACATCTCCTCTCATTTCCCCCACACCCAAACCGGCCACACTCTCCATTCCCTCTCAAATATTTTCTTCCACTCTCCTAACCTTAAACCACTAGCAAACAATAGAAGAAGAAGAAAGAGATCAAAGGATTCTAGGAGGAGACTAGTCAAGCATTCCTTCAAGGTAAAAAACTCTAAATCCTCTCTTTCTCATGTTTTAGTAAAGTTTGAAATGTAGAAATATTCCTCATAAATTTCTTTATATATTCTAGCTCAAGCCATTAACAAGTTTTAGAGGAGTTCAAAGTTTTTTTTTTTTTTTTCGAGAGAGAGTTCTTCAAGGGTAAGTTCTTAAACTCTTCTCCATTAATTTATAGCCAACTTTAAGCTTGAATTTATAGATGTAAATTTGTGGTTCTTGAGGAGATGAGTTGTAATAAGGGTGTGTGAGTTTTTTGTTGGTTTTGTGAGTTTGAGCTTAGTTTGATGTGGTATGCTTATGCTTGATTTAAGCTTGCTTACTTCCGGTTAGAGGAAAAATTTCTTGTTATTTTAAACGCGAAAATGAGGATCATAGAACGAGATTTTTCGGTGTTTCAAAGTTTGAACTTATAGCCCTTGGTGTTTTACTGATAATTTGTGAATCCTAAAAGTTTTTTTTTTCTTAATTTGATCCTGTAGATTTTGAGCCCAAAAACTCTACATTAAGAGCAACTCACACACCCACCAAACAAATAACAATAATTTAGCTGGCCTAATTGCGGTGTAAATTCTTAAGTTAAATTTATAGAAACTACAAAATTCATGAAAATAAAATCAATTTATGATAGCATATGCGACCATCTTGGTAGATTAGCTGAAAGGGACGAACTAATTTATGTATATAATGAAAGTAAACCGATTATAATCAGTTTGATTTGAATTGGATTAGATTCCTAATTGGTTTGGTTAGGTTTGAATATCTCTTTAAACCAATTTATAATTAGTTTGGTTTGTATCTCATCCAAATTAAGTGGTTTGGCTGGATTGTAAATCCCTAATTATCATCGTCATTTTAATTACTATTGTTATAATAATTAACACAGAACAACAACTAAAAAGGACACAAACGACACTTACAGATAATAAACCAAACGACATCTTACAAAACAAATCAGCTACACCAAGTTTACACAAAAGCCCAAATGACTATAGGACATAGGCAGCTACCAAAATACTACATCAGATGTTCACCCCTAGCAGTTCACAACCTTTATACTAAGCAAAATTAAACATAATTTTTGTCTAATTAGTATTGTTCGGGTCCAACTTATAAATATACATACACACATATATAAATATATATGTATATATGCACAATGGAAATGTTTGTGACCAATAAAATTAGGTGAAGCAGTACATGGTGGTGGTTATTGTGCTTGTGGTAAATATTAGAACAAACTCGGAAAATTTCATCGACACAAACTTTGTCCAAGCAATCTCTGTGAATGTTGCAGTTGTATAAGATATATATATATATATAGAGGCTTTCTTCCAGAACAATTTATGTATATAATGAAAGTAAATCGATTATAATCGATTTGGTTTCAATTGGATTAGATTCTTAATTGGTTTGGTTAGGTTTAAATATCTCTCTAAACCAATTTATAATTAGTTTGGTTTGTATCTCATCCAAATTAAGTGGTTTGGTTGGATTGTAAATCCCTAATTATCATCGTCATTTAAATTACTATTGTTATAATAATTATTTATCATCGCCATAATATAAACTCCTTGGATCTATAAACAGTACTGATGAAATACAAATATGAACATTAAAGAAACAAAAGTCCTTTCTTTATTATGCATTATTTGTTTTTAGATACAATGTAGGATCAAACGTACATCTTCCCAAACTCAAGCCTCGCTCCAACTCATCCCATGTCATTTGACCTGGTGGTTTCTGACATTGGACTTCACTTTTATTCACTAATAAGACTACCCAAAAAAAAAAAAAAAGAGAGAGAAAGGAAAAAAGAGAGAGAAAGAAAAAGCCGTCTGATCAACCTACACACATTGATCAATAACAGATCAGACATTTCCATCATATGGAAGACAACCATCTACTTAAAGAACTCCATTATCCAATAGTCACCCATAAAATATTCAAATTTGATCTCTCTAAATCCTGCACCAGTTGCCAAGGCTAAAAACTCTTCCCGGCTCCTTTCCTTGGCTCCTAGTTGATGTTCGGCCATCACAAGCACATCAAGTTGGGAGTTGCTTTTCGCGTGAGAACTAGTCTCTGGCTTCACCGGAAAGATTACATCAACAACTATAACCTTTCCGTTGGTCGGAATAGCTTCGGAACAGTTCTTCAATAGCTTTAAGCAGTGCTCATCATTCCAATCATGAAGTACCGACTAGAAAACAATCATTTTAATTAATGCGATGAAAAACAAAAGGTCAATCAATTTGTAATGCTTGCAAAGTGCAAAATTACATAACTCTACCTTCAACAAAATAGCATCCCCGATAGGGACCTTATCAAACATATCTCCTCCCACGTGTTCAACACCTGTAACATTATGCATTAATATGTCTTTTAATCGGAAAATGATAAGTGATACACCATAGTTAAATGCTATTACAAATATTTATATACATATAAAATAAACTAAAAACTCACCTGGATAAGATGGAGCATGTTCTACCACATGAGGCAAGTCAAAGTTAATACCCTTAACATGTGGGAATTTTGAAGTGATTAAGTTAAGGGTCACTCCCAAACCACCACCAACATCCACCAGTTTTTGAAGGTGATTAAAACCCTTGTAATATTTTAGGAGCTTCTTAACGATAATAGTACTTGCGTTGTCCATTGCTTTGTTGAAAAGTTGATTTAATCTTTGATCCAAGCCTAGATACTCAAAAGAGTGTGTTCCATGGACCCTCTTAAATGGAACTCCTCCTTCGAGAATTGCATCTTTTAGTTGGAACCTGTAATTCAATTTAATTAGTATGGTGGAGTCAGATTAAGCGGTATACAAGGTAATACTTCATGCTGTTATTAATTTGTTGGTTGATTGGAACATGGAGCAAAAAAGAAAGTGAGCAAGTAATAAAAATCTTATAACCAAGTTTTCTTCACTTTTCTAGTAGTGAAGACTCGTACCTTCATGCTATATCTACATTTTATTGTAAATATTAAGCTTAAAAACTTGTAAAAATAAGCTAATATTAACTTGTAAAAATTTTGAAAATGACAATATTGAAATTATTAAGTAAAAAACTCGACACAACAATCAGTAGCAACTAAATGCAAAATCCTAGTATTTGCTATATTTGGTGTCATATTTTAACACCAATTATATCACATGTAAACTTTAGCGCACAAAAAATATATTAGTATTGGAAAGTTGATTTTTTTTTTTAACCTAAATACTAAAATTCTACATTGACACATCAATCAATTTAACATTGTAGTGAAGTTGTTCTAAGATGAATAAATTGTTTCACTGATCCGGTTCCCAAATTCAAACATGATAGAAGAAAAAAAAAATCTAAATAGTTAAATACAAACCAGCTATCCATCAAGATCTTGTCATGAACCAACGCCAGCATGGGTCCAAATGAACCATCATATTCATTAGTCACAAAATACTTGGACACGGGGCGAAGACCGTAAAGCCTTCGAAATTTAGGCTCACTACTGCCATCACCCACCACAGAGCAACTAAGAATAGAGTGGCTTGCCAACATCCTGAGTATGCGATCAAGCATAATGGGTGCTTCAGGGTTGTTGGCGGCCAGCTGCTCCACGATCTCCGCCGGCGAAAGCTTAGCGCCTTCTCCGGCTTTCGCTATGATGTCGAAAACTCCGAGCTCAATGGCAGCGTGTAAAGACATGGACAGTGCGGGGGCAGTCGCAAGCTGCATGGCAAACGAGTAGTTTTCTTCCTCTTCTCTTCTGTACACATCGTTGAGGACGTTTGGATTGTTTTCCATTGGAATTTCTCTAGGTAATTAAACTACATATATTTTGATATTTTGTGTTTTGGGATGCTGAGACTGTATGAGGAGACGTTGGTAATTACATTAATATTAGCCACTGAATGATATATGAAGCTTATATAGACCAACAATCATGGTCAAAGTAGCCTTTCTTGACTATTATGTAAAAACTACCGGTTGTTAACTTCTACAAGTTTCTCTGAAATCGTCATGCAATCGTTTGTCAGAGAGATTACAACCGGTGGCGGATTTAAATATAATTTAGTGGAGATTATCACCCCACTTAAATTTTTTTTTTTAAAAATATTACTTTTAAAAATTTTAAAATTTTATATTTAAATCTCTACTGAAATAATATATATCATTATTAAAATAAATATATTTTTTTATATATTGTCAATAAGATAATTTATTAAAAAAATTATGACCAGCTGGCTACTAGAAGAAAGTAGATCGAAAGACCGCATGGAAAACCCGAGTTAATGCACCACGTACAAGTGCTTTTCATAATCTTAGAACGACATTCAAAAATACCTTTCTCATACGCAATGTGTTCATTTATCATATGCCATGTGTTAACCTTGGATGTTGGTGTGCCTCCCACGTGCTGCCACGTGACTAGCGGTTTCCAAGCTCTGTTCTTTGTTGGATTTTCACAACGCAAAAGATAATTTGGTAACATAAAAAGGAAGGATATTCGCGGCTTTTGCCCTTTTGACTATAATTGTGGTATATTATTCTTTGAAATATATATTACAGTAAATCGATGAATATTGAAGTTAGAATTATTAAAAAAAAAAAACGACCTCTTTTAATGACCTGCATGTAGTGAAATTAAAAAATTATTTTCAGGACAAAATAAATAATCATAAATAAAAAGTAATTACTCGGTGATATAGTTATTTAATGTAACCCAAAATTTATTGGGAAGAAAATTATAGGTACCAATCACACCAAATAAAAAAAGTTTAGAATTAAAAACTTGTTACGAGACCACACTAATATAAAACCTATATCATCTCCTCTTCAACTCGCTTTCAAATTTCTCGTCCTACTCTAACTCTAACATCTCCTAACCCAATCCAACATAGTCTAAGTGGTTATGCTAAGACAAGCTCAAAGGTTGTGTTAACCGTAGCAAAAAGAGATATATAATAAAAAAAAGAATAAGTCGAAATAATGTACTTTTTATCTCAACTAACAACTATACATAGCTACAGTATTACATTCCAAAAGAGCTTTACAAGCAACTTTTTCATAACTATCACGTACGTACTACCGAAGCAACTTTTTCAATTTTATAAGTTGGAATTCTCATGCGTTATGTCACGGCCTCAAGTGCTTATCTTGGAAAGCGAGAAGGCGCCATAGATTTCGATACCACGCACTACCGAAGCAAAGATCCTCTAACTCCGAGGCTTTACGTAGACATACTTGAAGAAATAGAGCAAATGGCTGTATTCAAACACGGAGGATTGCCCCGTTGCGGAAGAATAGGAACATTGTTTTTGTTAGGTAAGTGACTCAATTTGAGAAAGTAATAATTTTATATTTTTTAGGTATGTTACTGTTTTCTATTTTTGACAAAGATTATTAGGAATCTATAAATAAGTACTTTATGTAAAGCTTAATGTGTGCTCAGATAAAAGTGTAGAGACAGAATGTCTTCTTTTAAGAGAGAGATGGGCAAGGGTGTAAGTGGTTTTGAGTAGAGAGAGAAAGTGAGAAAGTTTGTTGAGTATGTAATTCTGAAACTGTTTGTGAATTTTTCTCCCTCTTCTATAAACGCAGGAAAATTTTCCGAACCACCTAAATCTTTTATTTCTCTATTTTTCTGTTATTTTTATTTCAATTTATTTTTTACTGTAGAGTGTACCTTTGAAGGAGCCATTAATAAGTACAAGAATAGCAAAGAGTTTTTGAGGGTTAATGAAGCTTATGATTCAAAGGGCTCTTCTCTAGTGATTGGAGTGACCAAAAAACTTGCTGTTTAGGGCTTAACACAATGCTGTTCTATAAAAAAAAAAAAATTTAATAATAATAATAATAAGTGAATAAAGCATTCCATATGAGAAGGATGGCTTCCTAATTAGACTAATGTTAAGGAATTATGAATTACGAAAATCACGTAGGAACCAAATCTTCCTCTTGGTTGGTGAGATTGAAAGTTCAAGGGTAATGGTTGAAGCGAAAAAAAAAAAAAAAAAAAAAAAAAAAAAAAAAAAGGTTTTTTATTTTTTTTATAACTAAAATGGCTACATGGTTGGAGTTTTTCCTATGCAAGTTTTTGTAAGTGATGAATGCCTTTTAGTTTTTCTAATCGCAATAAGTTTAGGGTTCAAAACCAGTGCTTGTATACCTCGCTAGAGGTCGTGGTGCTTCGACTTAAATCTCTACATCACTTCTAGTAAGCATCTTGATCACAATTTAGGCGTTCTGAATTCTGAGTTTCATAGTTTCCATTCACAATCATTCTTTAAATAAAAATAAAATAAAAAGAAAGAAAGAAAGAAAGAAAGAGAAGATAATTACTCTACTTGACAAAAGTTCATATCTTAAGTTAAAATTTAATAAAATTTTCGAAATATTATAAAATAGTGAAAATAACATAGTAATTATCATAATTATATCACATTGTACTATATAAATATGTAGTAATTATTTTAATGAAATAAATTTTTGATATTATTGTAATATTCCAAACATTTTGTTATGTTTCAATTTTGCTATTTCAGTTTTGTTATATTTTGATAGGACTCTTAGATACATATTGAAGAACGAAAAAAAATGGGCCAATATGGCCGAACCCAGCAAAAACTTGGCTGGCCTAAATAAAATGAGAGAATTACATACCCTTCCCCTTTAAGTCAATTCAAACCAGAGTAATTTTAGTTTTAATTTTAGAATCAGGATTATTATTTATGATTTTAAGTTTAAATCATAGTTCTGAAATCAAAACTAGAATTAGGAGTTTGAACCACTCAAAATCAATGAGCAAGTGGTTTTAGAATCAGGATAAGTAGTGATTCAAATTTAAAACATCATATCAGAGTTCAAATCTTAAATTAAAATCATTCAAACTAAATATTAATTCTAGTGAGTCAAATCAAAATTAATTTTTATTTTTTATAAATAAACATTGATTTAAACTAAATCATAATTTTAAATTTTAGAATTCTTATACCAAATATGCTCTAGACTAACAAAATACCACATTTAAAACCATTACCCATTTAACTTTGGTCAAACACCTTGACCGCATACTAAAAGACAAATACCCAAGAATTTTGATCACATATTTTTCCAAATTTAAACCCTGAAGCTTTCTCTCTGTAATATTTTCTCTCACTGCCTCCCCATTCTCTCTCCCTCTCCCCTTCTTCCCTCTCTCTTCTCGTCCCTCTCTCCGACCATTCTCCCCACCGTCGTCATGGCAGGAGAAGTCATCGCCGTCATGTGGGATGCCTGTTGCCGTTGTCGTTCGCTTCGGACGTTGCCGTCGCTCGAGGAAACGTCGCCGTGAGATCTGGTTCGTAGACCGGCATCGCGAGATCTCTTCCTTGCGATCTAGTCGTTCTCGTTCGCTTCAGACGTCGCCGTCACTCAGGGAAACGTCGCTGTGAGATCTTGTTCGGAGATCGGCATCGCGAGATTTCTTCCTTGCGATCTCGGCGAATCTCGGCCGTCCACCAGATCTACAGATTCTGACCATCTTTAGCACGGCTCGATGCTTTTACATTCCAGGTTGGTTTACTTCTATTATTACTATTTTCTTTTTTTATTTAGTTCATTTCTTTTCAGTTGTGATTTTAATTTTTTTTTCTTTTTCCCCGTTCATTGTCTAGTATGTGATCTTGGAGAACATTCATAGCATCAACCGGTTTATTGGATATCTTGGAGAACAAACTCATCCCAGCTCTTGTTTGCGATGCTTCCTTTCGTCGTTGCCGCCACCGTCATTGCTGTTATGGCTCAACCATATACTTTCACTTGGTCGCTAAATTTTACTTTTTTTCTTTTTTTTTTTTCTCTGAAATATTGGGTATTGAAGTATTGCATGTTGAGATTTTTGTGTTTTCGAGTCTTGCATGCGATTTTTTTTTAATAATTTTTTTGTGAATTTGGGTTACTTATGGTTTGTTCTTTTAGAGTGTAATTTGAGTGTAATTTTTTAGTTAAATTTGAGTTATAACTTGAATTGAAGTTGTAATTTGAGTTTGTGTTTAGTTGTGTACATTTGAGTTATGATTTGAGATAAGAATTTTTTTTTTTTGAGTTTGTGTTTAAATGAGTCAAAGTTTACATTTGAATTTATATAGTATTTTAATAAAAAATGAAAAATTTTAATAGGGTATATAGATGGAGTTTTATTCGTCTTTTCGTTGTCAACGTATAGAAAAAAAATCATCTCAATCAGGATTAAAACGAAAAAATTATAGCATTTTTAAGAATAGAAAAAATATTGTTCATTAATTTGAGTTCGAGTTTCTGAACTCGAGTTGAAGGGGACACTTGAACTCGAGTTTTAGTCCCAAACTCAAGTACAAACTCGAGTTTAAACTTAAAAGAATATAAACTTGAATAAAATTGGAACTCGAGTTGTTTTTTTTGAGTTTTTTTGGCAGCCGAACACACCCTTAGGTGCTTTTAGAGTAACGATCTATGTCATAGTTTGAATTTTCTCGTAGTTTGTTACGTTATTTTTTTTAAAAAAATACACATAAATTAAGAATAATTTTGAATCATAATTTTAAATTTATGAATCAAATATCCGTACAAATAATGTTATGATTGAGGCTTTATTTTATTTTAAATATAATATAAAGTATAATTTCATGGCCATAGACTATCTTCTCAGTCATTAATATTATAAATGCTTGTATTATGTGTTTATGGTTTGCTTCAGAAATGACTTACAATTTGTTAAAGAATTCTTTTAATCATTTTTTTTTTAAATTGGTAGATGGTTCAGCTTAAATCTTGTTTCTTGATTTTATTGTCGATGGAATTTTCAGTTTTCTTTCATTTTAGTAGTTGAGAAATTGATGGTGTTGGTTGTTTCCGGCTTTTGTTCAGGACTTAGATGATGATGAATGAATTTTGTATTTCATAAGCTGGGACCCCATTTATGTGTTTGATTTTAAGCCCACAAGAGTTTCTGGGTCAAGCGATCTCTTTGTTGCATGACTAATTATAATGCATCATTTGACATTGTGAACTTTTTTTTTTTTTTGTTCTTTTGGCATTTTATATTTGTTTGTCGGTTTTTTGTTTTTTTTTTTTAGTTGTTTGTTTGAAGGTTAAGACTGTTGGAGATTATAGTCTGGTAGATTATGGTCGATATTAGAGAAGCCGGAGTAGCTTTGTTAGACTATGGTCAGCGTTAGCGACCGGAGACCGGCGGCCGGCATAACTTATAAGACTATAGATCATAGTTTAATAAATTATTAGTCATAGTCTGATAGACTATAACCAACAGTTGACGTAACATGTCAGACTAAGGGTCATAGTCTGATAAATTATAAATCATAGTTTAAAAGGCTATGGCCGGCGCCTAACAACCGAGACTCGCCTGTCGGCATAACCTATCAGACTATGGATCCATAGTCTGACAGACTATGACCAACCAGTGATTGGAGACCTGCCAACCGGCGTAACATGACACACTATGAGTCATAGGTAGACAAATTACTGGTCTTAGCCTGTCAGACTATGGGTCATAGTTTTATAGTTTATGGATCATAGTATGAGAGATTATGGCTCATAGTATGGCAGACTATGGCTGACTCTAGCGTAACCTGTCAGACTATGACCAACCTGTGCCGGAGACACGCCGGACAGTCGTTGGAGACACGTCGGACGGCTTCCGGAGTTCCAGCGCGTGGTCGCCAGAGACCCCACCATCAACCACTGATGACCATGTCGCCGGCCACCAATCGAAGACTGCCAACATCTTGTAAATACCTTTGAGGGTATTTTAGTAATCTATATATTAGGCAATTGATTGAGCTTAGTCTAAAGGGGTATAAATAAAAGAGCTAATGTTTGGGGAGCCAACTCATGTGTCCTTTTATTTCTCTCTTATTTTGTGTCCCTCTTAATAATATTATGTTACGTCAATTAAAAGATTTTTATCACATTAATTAAAAAATCATAACGTGACATATTATTATTGGGGGGACACGGAAGGAATAGAAAAAAATGGCATATGAATATATTGAGGTTAATAATAGTTTGACGATCCAGTTTTAGGAGTAATTGTAGAAATCTCTCATTAAGAGTACATAATTTTCCATTAATTTTCCGTGGACTATTATCTATGTCATTTTAAATAATTCAATTCCATTATAAACTTATATTTTTTCTTTATTATTTAAATAATAATTATTTATTTTTTAATAGAGTGACTTAAATAATATTTTTTATTCTTTTTCTTAAATTAAGGCGAGCCAAACTGTGCTACGGTGTTTTTGCCCAGGGTTGAGCCGTTGATCTTCCTGAAAAAGTTATGCACACAATGATATTTTGTTCCTTGAATATTTTTGATAGATTCTTCCATGAATTATTATTTTTACTTTCTTATTTTTGATATTTCGGTCCCTACAATAAAATAACGAGAGATTTATGTAATTGAATAATAATAGTCAATCATGTGATAATTAGGATCTGTTTGGTTCAAGGATTAAAATCAGAGTGATTTGAGTCTTTTGATTTAGAATCATGATTCAGAGTGATTAGAACCTTCGTTTGGATGTGTATATGCATGATTCTTATTCTAACTTGAAATGTAATTCGAATCAGTGTTTGGTTGTCTTGTTTTTTGAATTTGAATCATGACCAAAATAATGTAATTTAAAAAATTATGTAATAAATATAATTCGTTACGTGTAATTTAAAAAAAAAATAATTCGTTATATAATTAAAAAAATGAAGCACTAGAAAAAAATTATGCAAATAATTTAACTCAAAATTATAACAAACTAAGTGAGAAATAAATGGAAAAAATGTGAATGAAATTATATAACAAGCCAAGCATATATAAAAAATGTGAGAAATATTATATTGCTAACCAAACTGATAAAAAAAGAAAATAACAACATTATCTACAATTCTATACATCCATGTACACCTTTGTTAAAAAGTCACTCTGCAAATGAGAGTGCTGAGATGCGAAAAAAGCCACAATGATTAACTACTTTAAGCACAGTGAAATTACTATACAAAGACTGAAGTCTTGGACTGAATCAGAGGGCGTCATGATTTTGAATCAGGACCCAAAAAATGAACCTTAACTCAAGTCCATGACTCCAATCCATACGACACAAAACATGTTTTCAGTACATGATTCTAATCTTTTGTCCTAGATCTCCAAACCAAACGGGCCCATGCGAATGATCTTTCCACTTTTGTTAAAACACTTGGAATTAGAAAATTTTTGGGTTTAATGTAAATTTTTTGTACACTTTTAGTTATTATGGTATCAACATATGATATCTTTGTTAATTTTTAAAAAAATTATTATCAAATAGGACCAAAATCACTAAAAAAAAAAATAGTTATTCGAAGAACAAAATACAAATCATGTAGAGTTGAAGGACAAATAACACCAAAAACTCTTTAAAAACATATATCAAAACAAGATTACGAAGAAAAACCTCGCTTTTTCTATTAAAAAAAGCAAAACAATGTTGAAAAAAATAGAACAGAATTCAAGTCATCCTTATTTAATATTTTTTATCTATTTATTTTATGGCGTGACTGACTAAACATAGTTATTAAGTCTAATATAATTTCTTATACATAACGTTTTTCATCCCTTAATTAATTTACCTTCAAGAAAAAGGAAAAAGAAAAGGTCGTTAAAAGAAAAATATATGATTTGTTTTGATTTTGTGCAGACTTATTATTTATATTATTTTAAATAATGAGTTGTCATTTTAATCTTTTGTTTTTTCTTTATGAATTGGGTGACAATTATTTATTTTTGAGTGTATACCATAAATAATATTTGTTATCGTTATAAGTAGTATTTCTAGTTTTTTTTTTTTTTTTTTTTTTTTCCAAACGTTAAATGGGTGTGTGTGAAAACGACTGTACTTTGGCGCCCAATGAAACTACGCCAAGTGAGTGCCATATTGTTCTTTTTTTTTTTTGAAAACCGAATTATTATGGCATTAACAAACAACCAATTTCATTTAAAAAAGAGAATCATGTGTTTTGTGAAAATACCACTTTCACTTTTATTATTATACAAAGCCTAAAACACCTAATATGTTTATAAAAGTAGAACTAAAACACCTTTTGAAACAGTTAAATTTTTAAAAATGCAATGATTATCCTTTTCAATTTATATTAAATATTATTTTAGATGTGATTAACTAAAAAATTAAATAGAAGTTTTTCTTAAAATACTTAAATGAAGACTCCAACTAAAAAAATAGTTCAATTATTTTAAAAGTTTACATTTTTTAAAATTGATTTTATTTAAAATTTAATAATGTTTTATATTGTATTTAATAAAAACTGAGAAGAGTAATATTAGTATTTTAAAAAAATCAATTGTCTCATAGAGTATTTTGGATCTTATACTATAACACAGTGTTATTTTACGTATTTACATAAAAACTGTTTTTGAGTATTATTCAAAAAATAAATAAACAACCAATTTCAGCCGTAAACTCGGACAAACCAAAGTCACCCGTAAACTCGGATATATATATATATATATATATATACACATATATATAATTTCTTATTTTTCATTGATCCAGTAATTTTTTTTTCCAATTTTTTAATGCATTCTTTTAGGGCTCGTTATGTAACTTGTGTTTTTTTTTTTTTTTAATTTAATAATATGTTATCTTCGGCTCTCTCTTTCTCAATTAGGGGCGCTCAGAGAGAGAGAGAGAGAGAGGAGAGAAGAAACCCCAAATCTTGTGTCGTCTCGTCGAATAACAAAACCAAAACCAACATAAAAAACAAGCAAAACCCCCTTGGCCCCTGCCTCCCTCACTACTTGCGAGTGCGCGTGCGTTTCTTACCCAACAACACAAGCACCATTTAATCGGCTTCTTCCTGAGTTCTCTCCACAACGCAAATCCAAAACTTTCTTCAGATTCAACAAATATTATACTCTCTCTGGTATGTACAAATGTCTCACTCCTCTTCTTCTTCTCTTTTTTTGTGGGTCCCGCAAATCTTTTTGCCCCATCTGGTTTTCGATTCGCTTCCGAGCTCAGCTTCCACTCAGCTCGAATCCTCAAAATCTATTCTTGTTGAGCCTGTTTCGAGCGATTCTTTTGTGGGTTTTTGTTACATTCACTCACTCCGTGCAAATTTCGTGGTTTTTTCAATTCTCCGTTGATTATTTGAAATATTTGTTGTTTTTACTATATGGGTTTTGCGGTTTAGGATAGTGTGTCAAAATTTTTAATTTCTTATCTGGGGTCCCTCTCGAGGGCTTCGTTTGTTCTATAATTCTAAACTGTATCAATTTTCCTTGTAAAGGACTTGTTTTTGGGTATTTTTATGATGTTTTACTTGACGAATTTGTTAGACGTTAACCCCTTTGGATGGATTTGTCCGACCTGATTTTTCGTATTAGACGATATCTTTTTCAGAATTTATACGAGTAGTACAAAATTTCGCACTTTTTCCGACGAAATAGGCATCCTTATTTGCACAAATAGTTTATTTATTGTTTGTTCAATGATAGTCAAACAACGACAACAAGTCTTCATCTCAACTTAATTGAGATCGGCTATATGGATTTCACTTTTTCACGCATTCAAAATTAAACTTTCCTGAAGGTCTAGATCTAGAATGTCTTTCTTAATTACTTCGGTCCACGGAATTCAACGATAGTCATAGATGAAGAAAATAATAAAGGGACCTCGTGTAATTTCTCTGATCACATTATTCAACTAGCTTTTGACTTTGTTCCCTTAACTCGTTGAGAAGAAAAAAGAGTGAACAAAGTTGAGTTGATAAAATGGTCGAAGACTTGGAGTTTCAATTGTTTGCATTCCACCATAGTTCCTCATTTAAAAATGGGGAAGTGGGAAAACTGGTGAATTTTCTCTCATGTAATTTCTTAAGCGTTTTTGAACTTTTATAGGCTTGGTTTATTTTGATTGCTGCTTTAGAATCAATCTTACTATGGAAATCCTTATGAGATTAAGTTTCTCTTTTTTATTGGCTAGTATCTGCCAATGTCTTTTAGGAAATTTCTTATGAGAGTGCATTTTTGATAACTCTCATTTGATGTTTGTAGGTGAGTTAGTTGAAAGTCCAAGTGAATTGTTTATTGGATGATAAAAGCTGGGGCGTGAAACAGTCATGGCAGAGGGCGCGGAAGTTGAGGGGCGGGTGGACCTAGACGAGGAAAATTACATGGAAGAGATGGATGATGAAGTGGAAGAGCAATTAGATGACGATGGAACTGATGGTGGTGGTGATGATAACGTGGAAGATGATAATGAAGAAGCACAAGATTCTGGGACTGGTGCCAGTGGTAAAGACCAATCACCAGAGGCAGAAAGAAGCCACCTTGATCCCGAATCCGCGGATGATGAAGAGAAACCTAATGATCCAGTTGACGAGGAAGAGAAAGAGAAGCGTGCTCAACTTCTTGCTCTTCCTCCCCATGGGTCTGAAGTTTTCATTGGCGGACTTCCTCGAGATGCCACAGAGGAAGATCTGAGGGATATGTGTGATAGTGTAGGAGAAATTCTTGAGGTCAGATTTGTTATGTTTTTGTGACCGAGTATTTTTCCTTGTGGTTGATCATGATGGGGTCGGACTTACTTACTAACGACTTAACTCTTTAATTATTTTGCAGGTAAGGTTAATGAAAGATAGGGACACTGGTGAAAACAAGGGTTATGCTTTTGTAGCATTTAAAACAAAAGAGGTTGCACAACAAGCCATTGAAGAGGTGAATGGTAAAGAATTCAAGGTAATCATGGTGCTTCTTAAACTGTTATGCCTTTGTCCTTTAAAAATCTTGGCTATATTGGAAGTTGCTTAAAGCTTGAGAACTATCACTTTCATGTCTCCCAGATTGGTGGTCATTTTGGTATTCTTCTATGCAGGGTAAAACCTTAAGATGTTCGCTTTCTGAAACCAAACACAGATTGTTTATTGGTAATGTTCCAAAGAACTGGGCAGAGGATGATTTTCGAAGAGTTGTTGAGGAGGTTGGTCCTGGAGTTGAAAATATTGAGCTAATAAAGGTGGACATTTTGTATAATTCTTCTCTATTTTTCTTCAGTAGTTCTTAAAATACCTTTCAAGAAATGAATGATTATGATATATAATTTATTCATTTTCCATAACAATTTGATTGCAGGATCCTCAAAATCCAAGCAGAAACCGTGGTTTTGCTTTTGTCCTGTATTACAATAATGCCTGTGCTGATTATTCAAGACAGAAAATGTCAAGTTCCAATTTTAAGCTGGATGGAAACACACCAACTGTTACATGGGCTGACCCAAAAAGCACACCTGATCATACAGCTGCAGCGCAGGTAGGTTCCAATTAAAGGGCAGTAAATTTAGTTCTTTGCCATACGTTACTACTGGTTTTAGAAGGTTCCTTCAAATCAATCATCTTAGCCAAGTTTCATGTTTACAGATTTGGTGATTCTGAACATATAGGAGATACATTCAGACAAAATAGAAGATTAAAATTCTTACAAACATTGTTTATCCTTTGCCAAAAAGTATTCTAATATAGTACATGTCAGTCTTGTCCTTAATTTGATCCAGGATCTTCAATTTCAGCATTGAACATTTGCGTTCAGGATTGTGGTTGGTTTGGTATAGAAAAACTTTTAGCCTTTGGAAAAGATTAGGCTGTGTAGGGTCTTCATTCGAGTCTTTAAGGATTGAAAGAATATAGAGGCAAGGAAATTGATGGATTAGCATCCTTTTTTGGAATCTAAAAGTTGCAGAACATAAACTTGGGTTTCAATGTTTTTCAGGATTAGAGCTTCATTTGATGAGTTTAGATTTGTAATATGTTGTCCCCATTTTCATGTCCCGTTGGCAGTCAAGACTTGACTAATGATTACCTTGCAAGTCTATGCAAATGCAACATATGACATGAGATCCTACCAGTTAAAGCCCACCTGATTGTAGGACCAAGATAGATGAGAGAGAATAGAGAGGAAATCTGTATATTCCATAATAAAAATCAAGGTCCAAAGTGAAAATGCAACCACTTGGTCTATTTTCTAGATGCACAAAACCTAATTATAAGGTAAATGTGACCAAGTACTAAAATAAACTTACATAAATCCTTAATAATCCTAAGAAAAAAACGTATTGGAAGTTGCAAATTATTGATATATTGTTCCACATCACTGACATTCAATTTTATTCACGTTCATATTCTCCTAGGAATCTTGATAAACAAGGTTCTTTTGGAATGCAATTGGTGTACTGTATTCACCAATATTCACTTATTATGGAAACCGGTTAAGGCAACATCCACTTTTTTTGCAGAACCGGAAGTAGTATTCTCTATCCCTAGCCTTGCGCTGGTTATGTGTTGTCTAATATGCAAGACTTCAGACCTTGCTCCTTTACATTTGAACTGTCAACCTTTTGAAGATTTATACGTGCTTTTGAATTATCAGGTGAAGGCTCTTTATGTGAAAAACATACCTGAGAATACGACCACTGAACAACTGAAGGAACTGTTCCAGCGACATGGGGAAGTGACAAAAGTTGTCATGCCACCTGGCAAAGGTGGGCAAGGCAAACGGGACTTTGGCTTTGTACATTACGCTGAAAGGTCAAGTGCTCTGAAGGCTGTCAAAGATACAGAAAAATATGAAATTGACGGTAATTATCTTGATCATCCTGTTGGGTTTGGAATATATATACTAGACTAGATAGGCAGTAAAAACATGGCATCCTGCTAAATATTCATTCTACACTATGGTATTTGGGACCTTTTACTGAACCTTCGTTTTTGGGTTATTTATTAAACTATATTTAGGGCGATCAGTTCAACAAATTAAGTAGACCTTGAGGTAAAATGCGAAATTGATCGACACCATTGAAGTGAAGTGAGTTGTAGCCTGTAGGGATTTGCCTAGGTTTGGGGTAATAGACGTCTAATCTTATTTGTTTTATTCACATGTAATTCAATGGTGTAAAATCACGCAACTAAGGAAAATTGAAAGATAATGAAATTTATTTGGAAATTTATTGGGTGCCGGTAACACTTTTTTTTTTTTTTTTTTTTTTTTTTTTTTTTTTTGTTTGGGGGGGTGGTGTCCATGAGGTTTCCTTAAGCAAAATGGAAAAGAAAAAAATGATTGTACACCAATTAATGGACACTAATTTGAAAGTTCCCACATGTTGATGTATTCAAGGGATTTGAATTGCAGGCCAAGCCCTAGAAGTTGTCCTTGCAAAGCCTCAGACGGAGAAGAAATCTGATGGACCTTATCCTTATGGTACTTTACCTCATGCAAGCCATCTCCCACATCCAGGGTACGGTGGTTTTGCTGGAAATCCATATGGCACCCTAGGATCCGGCTATGGGGTAGCTGCTGCGGGTTTTCAGCAGGTAATCTTACAAGTTCTGCATTTGTCTTTGTACTTATTTTAAGTGTTCAATGGATCCGTAATTGTTCTAATTTAATCTCCTGGATTCTCATATGTGATAAACAGCCAATGATATATGGTAGAGGACCAATGCCAGCAAGTGCCAATGGTTCTTCCGGACGGTCGAATTGGCTATGTTCTGTAAGTTGTTTGACACAATTTTTGAAATCCAGTTTTCATCATTTAGAACATATCTCATAGTGGTTTTGAACTTGCAGTCAACAGCCAGGGGTACAGATTCCCCCTCCTCGACCTCGGAGAATTGATCGGAGCAATGGTCCAAGTGGTCAGGGAGGACGAGGAGGAGGCAGTGGCAGTGATGAAGGCAGTCGTAGCCGGAGATACAGACCCTATTAGTGATAAGCCCCAACTGGAAGAAGATTTTATTTATCTTTTCGGTAACAGAGAAATGATGTGGTTGGATGACAAGTTTCTTAAAACACAACAAAAAAAAAAAAAAAAAAAAAAAAACCCCCCATTTCCCTTTTTTTTCTCCCCCTCCTGGAAGTGGAGCTGAAAAAGGCCTTTTTTTTCCTTCAAAAAAAAAAAGATAAGAAAATGCCATTAGGAGTAGGAAAATGAGGTATCATTAAGTTAATGTTGGTGTCTCAATACTGTTAGAGGTGGTTGACAGTTGTAGGAATTTATCTTTTTATGTATTAACTTATCTGATTGTAATGCTTTGTGGCAGCATTTTTTTTTTTTTTTGTTTTGTTTCATTGACACCCAGCAGAAAGCATTGATTCTTGTTGTCTGTGTTATACATTTGACGCATCTTTCATGCACTTACAATCATAGACTATGGTACACCTCTCAGTTTCGTTTTTTCCCCTTTTCTTTTGGACCAAGAGTGGAAGGATGTGTTTGTGTACACTAGACAATAATCACTTTCATATGCCTGAAATTTGATCCGTACGACTACAAGCGTCTTTTGTTAAGTTGATCGAGTTGTCAATTGTCAGCTTTTATCGCACAAGCTTTAGATGAACTACTTTTGGTGTCATTTGAGAAACATTTAAGCAAACCGACATGAAATGTGCGGACATAAATGCAATAGGAATTTGACTTTTTTAAGGGCTTTCGAGGTTCCATTTTAATGACAAGTTTATCATTATATTTAGGGCTGCTCTTTTAATTTTTGGGTCATTCCTACTCTACTCTTTAAATTTTGAGTTTTGAATTAATTCCAATTAATCCCTTTGGTAAGAATTTATGTTAAAATTAAATAAAAAAAAATGTAGTCATGCGATCTTTATTTGTTTGCTTTTAACATATATTCAAATAGAAAGACTACGAAATGATATTATTCTCATTTTTTTTTCTATCTTCTTTTAACACACTCTAATAAAAATAGTTAAGTATGAACAATTTAAAATTCAGAGAATAAATGTAGAGTTTTTAAAATGTGGACGGCAATGCGGAAAGCAAACTAGAAATGGCCATAAAATTTAGGAAGCTCCGGTGAATTTTTATATTTAAATGATGTGTGAATCGGGTTTAAAACGTCCTCGTAAGAAGATGTTCCCTTTAAAATATCACCAATCTTGTATGGAATAAATCATGTTTCTCGTTTCAGCTCGCTAGACCATGATGGGAGTTAGATCTTTGAAGACTCAGTCAAATTGTAAATCACTGCATACAAAATTAATAGAAAATTTTCTTTTTTTTAGCCAAAAATTTTTTTTTTTCCTTGCGCACAGAAATAAAAACAAGGATGCATTGAGGTGATCTTACAGCAACTAAAGAACATCAATTCAATTGTAGATTTGAGCTAACAATATATCATTCACATACATACATACGCCAGCCTTATTTTATGTGAGAAAGCTCCCAAAGACGCTTCTCCAACTCATCCAACTTCCCAACCCACTCGCTCTTTACACTGAAAGGAATTAAATAATCCCTTATTAGTATTACTCTTCTTCTTCTTCTTCTTCTTCTTCTTCTTCTTATTTTTACTCTTTCCACTGATCTCCTTGTTCTTCTTAGGAGCCAATTTCTGCCCCAATAATCTGCTTCCATTCTTCTTTTTTGTCTTATTGTTTGGGTTTTTGCTTTTGTGGGATTGGAAAGGTATTGGTATTGGTTGGTTTTGGTTTGGGTTTGGGTTTGGGTTTGGGTTTGGGATCGGACTCGAGAGCCGTGAGGACGGTTAGGCCTAAGCCGCCAACGGCGTTGCCCGCTGGTTTGCCGGCCGAGACGGTGAAGGAAAGGCGGCTACGCGGCGTTGTGGCCGGTCTGGGGTTGAAATAAATGCGTGGCATTGGGGGGACACGTACGACACATCCAATCACAAATTCATTAAAGGAAATTCTTGTGCGCAGTGGATTGAGTTTCCATTAGAGCAAATAAAGAACATGAACTCAAGTTTTCTTGAAAAAAAAAAATGAAAAAAAACAGAGGGAGGCATCGTTCACAATATATACACAGGCAAAGCCTTATTTTGTGTGAGAAAGATCTCGAAGTCGCTTCTCCAGTTCATAAAACTTGCCACTCCACTCGCTCTTTACAAGTAAAGGACGAACATTTGAATAATCCGCTGCAATTTCTTCTCCATGACCAGCGCTAGAGGATAATCCCCCACTATTCTTCTTCTTCTTCTTGTTTTTGTGCTGTCCACTCAACTTGTTCTTCTTTGCAGCCGCTTTCCGCAAAGCCCAAAGCACATCCGACCCACTAATCTGCTTCCCCTCTTCTTCTTCTTCATTGCTGTCTTCTTGTTTCGGTTTTTGCTTTTGTCGTGGGGTTGTTCGGCCTTCGCCACCGACGTCGTTCGCTGCTCGTAGGCCGGCCGAGACGGCGAAGGAAAGGTTGCTGCGGCTGCGCAGCGTTGTGGCCGGTTTGGGGATGACATGAATGCCTAGCCTTGGTGGGGACACGTACGACGCAGCCCACATGGTTGAGATTTTGGGAATTTTGGGTTTTTGTTGGTTTCCGTTTGGTTTGGTTTGGTGGGTTTTATGTCAGCCCCACATATATGCAAACGGTTGCGCCTAATGGCTAATTCTTCGGTGTCATCAGTGAGTTGGGGTTGGGCCAAATGTTTAATGAAGTGCAAAGCTTTATGTCAAGAGTAGTATTCATTGAGAAAATTAATCTGAATTTTTATTTTTACTCTTCATTCGGAAAAAAAAAAAGTTAATAATACGATCATACAGTGACACTATTATATAGCATATCACTACTTGTCAAATAATAATTTTCTATGTTAGTGGCTTTTGAGGTAAAGATTTTTTTTTTTTTTTTCCCAGTCTCTTGTGGTATTGTTGAGTATCAAAGAAAACATTATTGTTTAAACTTGGAAGTAGAATAATATCATGCAAAGTGATTTATTCTCATTCCGATTTACAATTCCTCCAATGGTGCAACTTAAAATTAAGGGTTAATCTAAACTTTAGTTCACGATTTCTGAAACATCCTAAAACGTGTCATGATCTACTAATTTATCTCAACTTAGTCCCTTTCTCTAAAAGTCTTTGAATTTTCAATGAAAAGAGGCACATGAGTGTCATGTTAGGGGTGGTTGAAATATTTAGGGCCTAGTTATTACCCTTTTTTCACCCATTACTAGAGGCAAAATTACTAGAGAAGTTGAGGAGGGCAACAAAACAAGAGAAAGATGGAAAAATCAAAAGGCTTTGAAAGATGATGGAATTCGGGGGGTCTAATTCAAGTAGGTCAAATTATGTAACCGGATTTTTTTTCTGTAATAAAAATAAAAAATTAGTAACTAAACATTAGCTTTTATACAGTAAATTTTTCTTAACTTATTGACGTATTTGGGGTTGGTATGTTATTTAGAATTTATCCTTGTATGTTTATGCAACACGAGCAGATTTTCCTCGAAAGTGTCTCAATTCAAGTTTCCCCTCAAATCACGAAGGTGTGAATGAAACCTTAGCCCCTAAATTGAGTTTTCAGCATGCATTTCTGCTAGCAAAAACCAGCCATGTAACTTTTCTTTGCTCTACCATGCGAAATTATCAGATTAAGCCTCATTTTGTAGTCGCAATTTTTGTTTTTTTGTTTGTTTCTTAGTATTCAGATGATATGGGAGTGACAATTTAAGACAAATTACTAATTAAAGACGTGTTTTGAAAGTGGTGAACCAAATTGAAATTTAAACTATAGCTCGGGGAAAAATAAAATATTAATAAGAGTTTAGAGTACATTGATTAAAAAAAAAAAAAAAAAAAAAAAAAAAAAATTTTAAAAAAAAAGGTTTTAAGTCGTTTTAAATACTCCGATCATGATGTGTAGATGGTTTTGGAAAAATTACACCTGCACGATGAGTAATAATTATTTCGACAAAGACATTCATGTGATGTGGATCATCAATTATGTAAGAGGAAGATTTAAAGTGGTCTGAAATTAGGAAAAAATTTGAGAGAATTATCCCACGTTTTTTGCGTGAGACCAACACTGCAAAAGGCTTCCCTTATTTGTCTATATTTACATCTACAATCTACATGTATACTTTTCTTGGTAAAATTTCTAACACCTCCAAAAGTCATTTTATGCTTGATTATTGGCTTTGTTCCATAATTCTTGGCTTAGCTTCTCTAGTTCCTAATGTTTATAGACCTACACTCCGCATTGCTTCCCTTTAAATTAAGGGATGAAATTTCCTAAACATCTCTTCTTCTTTTTTTTTTTTTTTTTCGCGAAATCTTACGTTTGTTTCTCTTAATATAAGAATATATATTTATACATATATATATATAATATTCTTGTATTTTTAAAGAGCAGTACAGAAATAATCCCTTGACTGATCATTTCTTTTTTTCTGGAAAAATATATCAAGATCGTCCTTGTTATCCTATATTAAATATTATCTTGAACATCGATTGTTTTCAAAAAATTAAAAAGATGTAAACTCCTATTAAAAATAACAAACCAACTGTCGAACATAAAACAGTTGGGCATCACCAGATTAAAGTTTACGTTAAATTACATCCTATAGATTCTCTTACTTCAACCTGGTGTCCCAATTAGCAATAAAATAAAATAATACTAATAATGCTAAGTAATATCAATAATAATGATATTAATGATAATGATGATGATGATAATAATTAGTACTGTTGCCAAATTATTTTTGGGTCTTCGTTCTTTACTTAAAAAAAAGGACTTTTCTAGTTTTTTTTTTTTTTTTTTTTTTTTTTTTAAAAAAAAAGGTTTTTTTTTTTTTTTTTTTTTTTTTTTTTTTTGAATGAGACTTTTCTAGTTTTGAAGCCTAAAGATTCCCTACTAGGTATTTTATTGACGACAAAGTACATAAGTACATTTGTATGTTTCCTTTTTTTTGTTTGCATTAATATATGTAAGATGGTTTTGTTTTATTTTATTTTTGATAACGGGATTAAACCCCTAACCTCACTCTAAATCTAACCCAACCCACCTAATTAATCGTCGGTGCCACTAAACCAAGTGATCTTAGGATGTAATACGATTTTATAAGTACTACAGAATCTTAAATCGTTAGTTGAACCACAAGAAGTTACTAATTTCGGCATGTTTGAGATTTTGCGCGTAGAAAAAATCTGCATTATCAATTAGTCATAAAATACTACATAATCTTAAATCGTTAGTTGAACCACAAGAAGTTACTAATTTCGGCATGTTTGAGATTTTGCGCGTAGAAAAAATCTGCATTATCAGTTAGTCATAAAATACTACAGAATCTTAAATCGTTAGTTGAACCACAAAAAGTTACTAATTTCGGCATGTTTGAGATTTTGCGCGTAGAAAAAATCTGCATTATCAGTTAGTCATAAAATACTACAGAATCTTAAATCGTTAGTTGAACCACAAAAAGTTACTAATTTTG